CCCAGGGCATCCACTGGTTAACAGAACTTCTCGAATGCCAATCCATTTGGGGGGAAAAAAATCTTGCACTCTGCATTTCTTCATTTCCTTCAAATTCTGTTTTTGCTCTCTCTTTATCCTGGATGTTAATATGATGTATCTACCAAATACCAGGCAAAACAGATCTTCTCAGAGTGTCTGCTAAAGCTATCCCATGTTGGTATCTAAGATTTCAAGACAACATCTAACTCTGTCAGACTCTGCACCGCAGGGAGCCAGATTCTCAGAATCATCATGTGTCAGAAAAAATTCAAAATGAATTCAAAACTTCTCTTACAGAAAAAGAATTTGAAATGAAACTAATATATGTTCTGCGAAACAGTTAATTCACTTTAAATATCAAAGCATTCAGGCTCCTGGCCTTTAAATGCACAAATCAGATGGCACAGAGAATCCTGTACAGACTGCCAAATCAGTCTGCCTCCAGTCTTGTCACTGTCTGAGTGTCTCCAACTCCCACTAAGGTCAACAGAAACTGAAGGCATTAAAAACCTCCTGGCACTGGAACTGGGGAGTCTGAAGTCACCTAATACTGACCAACAATGAGTGACAGAGGTATATCCCCAACAGCCTCCAAAATGAAGCCTCTCAGAGTACGGAGGATGGAGGTCAGTAATCGCTTCTCATGAGGAACAGGTGAAATCAAGTGCTCACCACCAGGACTCCACCTGCAACAGGGAGGGTCCTACTGAAGACAAAGAACAGGAGATAATGTATCACAAATGTGTAAAGTTAAGGAGAATTCCCACACAAGGTTCAAGGAAGCAAAAAAAAAAAAGTTTACTCTTGCTATCAGGATTTCAATGGGAACATCCTCATTTTTAAAATTATGAACAAATTCAAAACAAGTGCTAGAATTGTTTTTGCCAAACAGTGTGTACACAGTTCATTGGAATGACATAGCTTGTGGGGGAGGCAGGAATAATATGCTTAGGTCCAGTAAACACTGAAGGTTTTGCCATTTTTCCAGAAGCATTTTGTTTACTAATAGGCATGGAAAGAAAAGAGTTAAACCCTTCTTGCAGTAGAATAATAAATAGGAAATTGGTTTGAATATTCCATTTATGGTGCATTTGCCTTCCTTAAATGTGTATTATATAAACCAACGGATTTCAGAATGTTTCAGAGATGTCACGTAACTTGTGAAACAGTACTTCAAGTGACAGAGGGAGACAACACCACTTACTGAAAATGACACAAAACGAGGATTGTTCTCCACTCCAGAGAATGTCTCATCTCATGGATGCAGAGACAGAGGTGTAAATGGCAGTGAACTGACACTTTTATTAAAGGCATTCCTCTTTCTTCAGTGCCATGTAGTTTTTTAAGCTAACAAAAAAGACAGGGACCCTATGAAAACCCAAAAGGCTGGCTCGATAAAATCTGGATGCTGGGCTAACTGTAGTCACATTTGTCAGGAAAAATCTCACCGTGTCTTACCTGCAGGAATATTAAAATCACACTCAAAGGTTGGTGAAAAAAACTCTTTTAATTAGGTGTGCAAGTTCTTTTGGTGCTTCTCTGTCTCTTCCTTTTGGACAGCTTTTTCTTTCATTCCCATGTTTCCTTTCCCCACCTCTTCTTAGGAGCTGCCAGTGCTGATGAAATTTATCTACTGAGATGCTCTAACAAATGAAGTCTTAACTTCAACAAGTCATACAAGTTAACCTAACAGAAAACTGGCCACAATGCAGTAAAATAAATTACCCACATGAAATTCACCCTAGAGAAATGTAAATTAATAGACTGGTGGAGGGAGGGGAGTGAAGAGGGATGATCCACAAAGATCTGAATACTTAGCAATACCAAAACAGCAGTTATGAGAGAAATTTAGAGGTAAGAGTGGCCAAAACCATTAGAACTCAAAGAGACTAAGGCAAATTTGAGGTAGATATGAGAAGACATCACTGACATACGCTTTAATTATGCTTTAATGCCTCTGTAAACCTGGACTATGACTAGAGGAGCAATGGATCTTAACGGGAAAAAATTAAGAAAATGGAATCAGTTCAGAAAGTAAGAAATGTAAAGGGCTAGACAGATGAATCTAGGGAATAAGAAAGACTATGAAGGAGACAAAGAGCTTACAGCTTTACTGGAAGAACCAAGAAGCCACCTTTTAGCCTCTCAACAGACAAACATGCCATGCATTGAACAAACAGCTGAGACTAGAATGAAGGCGACAAACATGATCTGAGCTCCAGGTGTGAGATGATTCCAGCTATGAGATGATGCCTTTTTCTTTTTTGTTAGACCTTCTCTTCCCTGATTCTCCAGTACGATTATATAATTTGCAGAATTAAAAGGGTTAAACATTTTGTATTGGGTCTGGCTGGGATGGAATTAACTTTCCCCATAACAGCCCTCACAGTGCTGTGCTTTGTATTCGTAGCTGGAATGGTGGTGATAAGACACCGATGTTTTGGCTACTACTGAGCAGTGCTCCCACAGCATCAAAGCTGTCTCTTCATACCCCCTGCCAAAGACCAGCAGGCTAGGGGTGGGCAAGAGGGGCAAGAGGCCGGAAGGGGACACAGCTGAGACAGCTGGCCCAAACTGACCAAAGGGATATTCCATACCATATGACATCTTGCTCAGCAATAAAAGCTAAAAGAAAGGAGAGGGAGGGAGGCATTGTTATTATGGCATTTTTCTTCTGAAGCAACTGCTATGTGTACTGAGGCCCTGCCTCCCTGAAAGTGTATGGACATCACCTGCCCATTAGAAGTAGAGAATTTGCTTCTGTGCACAGCCTTTGCTTTTCTTTATTAAACGACCTTTATCTCGACCCATGACTTTTTCATCTTATTTTCTCCCACTGTCCCGCTGAGGAGAGGAGTGATAGAGCAGCTTGGTGGGCACCTGGTGTTCCAGTCAAAGTTAACCCACCACAACATTAGCATAACCCACCACATGCCCCATCCCTGGAAGTGTTCAAGGCCAGGTTGGATGAGGCTTTGGGCAACCTGATGTAGTGGAGGGCTTCCCTGCCCATGGCAGGGGGGTTGGAACTAGATGATCTTTGAGGTCCCCTCCAACCCTAACCATTCTATGATTCTATGATTAACTCTGAGAGACCAAAGATAAAATCGAGACAAAATTTAGTGAAATTCCCTGGAAATACAGAACATTTGAGACATCTGCTAGAGGGATGAGACATAAGGAGCAGTCTCTTAGTATCCAAAAGATGTGTGCATCAGAGCAAGCGAGGTTATTAAGAGTACAAGGATACATATATAGCATTGGTATATGGAACGTATAAGCAAATTTGAAATTACGAAGTGAAGAAAGAGCAATATTAAAGTATGCAGAAGCAAAAAAAAATCTCCTAAACCCATGATGTCCTAAGATGTGAAATAGGAGGGAATCAAGGAAGTTCTATCATTGGAAAAATGAAAAAGTGATTGAAAAAATAAAAAGGTATGCTCTAGAAAACATGAGATTGATGGGGGCAAAAACTCGCCTCTTTCTTTTTGCTGTGGTCTTATGAGAAGTTGAATTTGTTCAGAAAAAAAATAATAGCATTTCTGATTCGAGACTGCTTCCTAAGCAGTATAATTACCACCTCACAGCAGTTTCTATCATCACTCCAAATGCAGAGATGTCTTCTTAAAGCTAATCTCATTTTTCCTCCCTCCCTTCCTGCTCCAGAATGATACCTCTCCTCTCCACTGCACAATTTATAAATTGTATAAATGTAGAATACAGAACAGCCTACTGCAGGCAAGCAATTTTTTGGCAATATTGTATGTGGGAAGACATCTGTGAGAAGCATCAGAAGATCTTTCATCTTCTGAACATCTCACAGATGTTCACAAATAGCGAAAATTGTTACTTTGGGGAAGGCAGCTCATGTGCCAATAAATGTAGGGAACTGGTTTAAAATAGGAGCTTGCAGGCTGTGAAATTAATAAAACAACAGATCTGACCTAAACTCCTAATGACAATCAGCCTGATTGTTTTTGTTAATTATAGTTATTGGCAATTGAAATCAATGAGAGGTGAACGAGGGCAAGCAAATTACAACTGCTAAATTGCTACAGTTAGCACTTTTTTTGCCCAAAAACAAATGACAATATGTTTTATTCATCTGCTTTGCTACTTACCACATGTAACTGTGCATACTCCAAATTCTACTTCCGTGGACAGAGCGGCATTCAGACCTGAACACTAAGTCTACAGTTGCATCTCTAACACGACAGGGATGGAAATGCCCAATTAACAGGAAAGTCACTCCTTGAAAACTTTACTACTTTTTAGTTGAAGTGTGACATTTGCCAACATTTTTGCTTTCACTAACTAGATCAGAAAAACAAGACATTTATGAAAAATTTATCATAAAATCCAGTGTGAATAGCATTCATGTTTAAACCTTAAGATGATTCTTTAAAAGGAATAAATGTATTTTTCTTATGAACCAGCCTATGATGTTAAATTAGCCTACTGAATGCTCTGGGAAGTGCAGTGTCTAGGTTCTATGCAAATTATAGGTCTTCCCTGAAACGAGTTAAGAAAAATTTTCATTAAACAATATTCAGTTAACTCATTTCCTTGTTCTTTCTGGCTAACATACGCCTTCCCACATGATTTTTTCCCCATCACACTTCAGGGTCAGGTTTAGACAGCCAGCACAAAAATGAGTCAAGCAGGTACAGTATTTTAATTAGGTACTGGGGTTTTAATCACTGTGATTGGGTTCTTTCCATTTTTTAATGGTACTCTGAGGTTACAGCATGGGTTTCACAGAATGTACAAAAGCAAAAGGTTCTCATCTCCATCTGGGATTCAAATCTGGATTATATATCTTATTCCTATTAGCATGCAATTTGGATGTTTGTTTGTAAGGATGCTGAGACACCGTAACTGTTCCATAGAGAAACCAAGTCAGTGAAGCTCCTTTGGAAATTTTTCATTAAATAAGGTCTTTTCAATTCTTCCAAATGCAAAGAGAAAGTCATTGTGACTGTTTTTACAAGTCTACACTGCCAACCCTGCCTACTCAGATTATTTTTTTCTGATAACAAATACTTACCAATGTAAAGTTTGCTTTCACTGTCTCTCGGTTTTTTATATTCAAGATTTATGTTTACAAAATGTTATTTCTGTGCAGCAATGCAAGTTTATATATCACTTCTTGCCACTAAATCTCTGAGTAACATTCACATTTTTCACACACTATCCAAAACTTTAAATTTCTCAGGTTGAAAGGAACAGATCCATTTCTCTTGCAGTCAGTGATACACAAATATAAAACCTTTATTCCTCCATTGTAAAGGAATTACACTATAGCAGCACGGTGCATTCTCCATAACGATACACTGATACTGAACTCTTTCCTCCCAACATTATAAATGAGCCATCAAAATCTTATTCTTCTGTTATCTCTAACTGTCTCTATGGTTTTGACATTTACTTCAGGATATAAACTGTGCTCGTCAGAACCGTCTTCTACTGTATGCACAACAATCCTTAAACAATAACTCAACTATCCGTTGAATGATAAAAAATCCAACCTTAGCCAAAACATAAGGAAAAAAATGATAAGACTAAAATCCTATGAAAACAGAGACAAGCTTTAAAACAGCTAATGTATCCTCAAACTCTGATGAGCCTTGAAAAATAACAACTTCTTTAGAAGATGGTCCCCACCATGGGCATCCTATCGTGTTTACTTTAGTTTCTTTTAAATTAATAGGGCAGTCACTAAACAGTCTTGTCTAACAACTACCACAGCACAGCAGAGAGGAGGAGGAGGAGAATTTAAGGATCCTGTCTACAGTCTAAACACAGTCCTGTTTAAAAATGGCTGGTTTCAACTTGGTACAACGTGAATTGTTCATGTTCATGTGCGCAGAATAAACGTAAACATGCAACAATGAACGGGAGGAAGGGCTAGAATAGCTTCAGATGATGTAAATTCTCAACTCCACAGATTTCTGACAATTCATATCAGCTTATGGTAAGCCCCAAATCTCTACCACAGCAGGGTGTCCTCATATCTGAAAGGAGAAGCTGCCATTTCCCATTGAAACACAAACTAAAAAAAAAAAAATAAACAAAAAGAAAAGCTTTAGAAACAAGAAGAGACACAAAACTTCAGATATTACTAATACATGGTTGAGGGACTTTGCTAACCAGTGTAAGTGAACTTCTCCTAATTATAAGTGAAGATATCAGCCATGATACTCTTTCAAAATAATTCTGGCTTCAGGAGCACCACAATGCACAACATGACGCTTTTTTCAGAGATTCATAATGAGGAACTGACCATAGCTCTAAATAAAAAAGATAATGTATTTTCTAAGTGGTAATACTGCAAATAAACCTTTAAACACATCTAAACATTAAAAGATGACAGGTTCTAAACTAACGAGTTAATTTGGAATATCCAATCCTGACTTCTGATTTAATGAAATTTATAACAAAAACCCCAACAACAACAAAAAGAAACTTTAAGGGAAACAGGATCAGGTTCATTGATAATCCTCTGGGTAACAACACTTTTTACATGAATGTTATGAACCTTCCATGCCAATATCACAAAGTTTTCTGTTGCTTCCTTTGCTTGCGTTTCCTCTCTACGTTTGAAATGAACCGAAATGTTAAGAAAGCTTCCGGTAAGAAACTACAGATCTTTCCATTTATATAAGATGGCTGGTTCCAGTTGCATCAGGTTCAGACAAAAATATAGTGTCAGCCCTATGCAAAGAGAATTATGTATATAGCTGCCATTAGCATTAATAGGAGTTATATATGTAAATCCCACACATGCTGAGATAAGAATGTGCTAAGGAACTGCATTTACATTCTTGTCAGGGGACTGCAATTAGTACCAGCACAGCAAAGGCAGTCTGTAGTCCTCTCTACATTTGGAAGCCTTGTAAAACCTATGTAGAACAGAAATCTTTGCCATTATGCACCATTTTAATTACCAGCCACATCACAGCACACATGCGGAATATCTCAATCAACACTTTAAAAGCCCACAGAAGTCCTACTAAAAATGTCAACAGAGAGCACTGAAAGTCGTGGTTGTGAACCGTAGGGGAACACGCTCACTCCTGAGTGGGGCAACTCATTCTTGTCCAGTACGGTGGCTTTACTTCTGTGGTCCTGAAGGTCACAGTGCAGAGGGGAGGGTTAGCAGCATGGCTCTGTCCCCAAAAGGACACCACATGGGGCAGCTGAGGGGACGCAGGTTTCCCAGGACGCAAATCTTTCCATGGGCAATTGGCTTTGCGCTTGACAACACATCAGCCGTGAACTTGGGCGGTTCGTTGCTCGAGGACAGACGGCGGGGGTTTGCACGTATCCGACTCTCCGGAGCCCACGCTTCTGGCTATGAGAGCGACGATCGGATCTGGAGCTCTCCCCGTCTCCCCAGCCTTCCTCTTCAGGAGGGCCCCTGTGCTGCCGCATGACTTAATAAAGCCCTGAACACACTCTGACACCTTCCCACCGCCTGCATGCGACACCGAGGAGACGGCGTTACATCCCGGCGGTGATTAAGCCTTGCTCAGCAAGCACGACTCCCAGCCGCCCCGCAAAGATCTGCTCTCCCAC